TAAACACATCAGATGTATGTGCATATGTACATACATACATACATGTGATTGAAAAATAGTTATATGGCTTCAAAAAAACCCACGAAATGAGGAATGTGTTTGTAAGAGATTTTTATTGGAATAAACATATTTTGTATTTACCATGAGTAGAATGCTCGTATAGTGTGGAAGGCTAAAGGCCAATGTCAACGAACTGATTAGACTTCATAAATACATCTTTCTTTGTCTGCTTGTTTGGCGCTTTAACCGCCAAAGCGGTTTTTATCAAATATGTACAATAAAGCACGTCAGTCTTTTTGCATTGTGCCAAGTAACGGCAATTGGAAATGATAAGTAAAGCAAAGTCCTTCTACCCTTGGTCTTTCCATCTCAGAGAAGACCCTTCCTCTTCTGACGCTAACACCAGCGTGTAAACGCCAGTCAATATTTATAATTACTTTTTCTTAAAATTTCAAAATTTTTTCTCAATTTATTCAAATAAATAAACATAATAAGAAGTAATAATATTAAAAGATTGGCGCTTACATAATATGTTACGAGTGTGGCCGAGCTTCTCCTCCGTTTTCTGGCGTGCGCATTGGTGTTATCACACAAATGGGAGGGACCTACAGTTTTACGCCGACTCCGAACGGCGATTGTATTTTTTTATGAAAACCATGGCAGAATACTACACTTGGAGATTTGCCATTGCCTGCAGAAGGGCGACGGCTATTAGAAAAAAAAAATTATGTTTAATTTTTAACCGACTTCCGAAAACGGAGGAGGTTATCAGTTCGTCGGAATATATTTTTTTTTGTATGTATGTTACCGCATAACTTTGGACCGCGTCAACCGATTTCGATAATTCTTTTTGCGTCGGAAAGGTAGTGTCTCAGAGGTGATCCCCTACTAATCTAGTTTAGATCCGATCATTAAATTTTTTTAAGTCGGTTTTGTTTTGCTAAAAATTACTTGTATTTTTTTGATGTTGGTAGGAAACTGGGCTCGAACCCAGGCCCCGAGGAATAGTAGCGCGCACTGCTAACCACTCAACCACAGTGGCCGCGTAAGTAAAAGGTCTAACTCTTTAAGAAAAAGCAATAGCTTAGTTTTTATTCATACGGTCCAATATTTACAGTGCAATAACTCCTCTTCGAAAGAAATAATTCAAGGAAAAATGGGTCTAACCGATTTGGATACGCAATGCACAAAGAATGTAGTCTAGTTTCCCGGGCACAGAATTATTATTTCTGTTATAGTTTACGTGCGTTTTTCCTATCGTCCAGCATTTCATGATCTCGCGTTCATGTATTGCTCTTTTCTTGTTACGGAAAACATGTCTCCTTCTTCAGCTTCCTATATCGATCCAAACCAGCTCGCGGTGTGGCCTATCGTCATCCCAGTTGTTGTTATGGGCTCGCTAAAATAATACTACGTCTTCGGTGTAGGTTTGTGATGTGTGAGATGTCGGCTTTTAAATCTCAGAGAGCAAGGTGTGAGAGTCGAGTGCCAAAAATCTGGCCGTGTGTTGTAAGTACAGCTTTCCTTGTATTGGTGGGCACACATTTTTTTATGCACAGAGGCGTGTGTTTATCTTGGCTTAAGTGTGTCTAACAGCGTCAGTCCATTAATGGACCTCTCATCGTGGAGACTTAGGGTGCATTCCGAAACGTCAAAATACAAAACATCTGTGTCTTTTATTTCTAAACCGTACTAGAAGAAAAAGTTTAACTTGCGCAACCTCGTTTAAAACTAGCGTGGTTGCGCACATTTGGCATTACAATCTGAAACCGTTTGTGAGGTATATTTGTCGTTTTAAACGCACGCATGCAATTTTTTACTAAAGAAGATACATGGCAATTGGTTTGAAATATGGAACAAAACGCAAACAAACCAGAAGGTAGAGGGACCTGCAGTTTTACATTCGCACGCCGGCCGGCTCTACATACCGGACTTATCCGGATTTTACCCGATCAAGGGCTGTTGTTTCTATTATGAAATCTCTTAAACGTTGTTCGTCCATGGGGCAATATCTTCTCCACACTCTTCTGCTGAGAGCTGGCATCGAGTCAAACCCTAGGTCAGAAAATTACACCTAATGCGCGTGCGGGAGACGATTACATTATAACTCGACCTCAGTCAGGTGTAACTTCTGTAACGGGTGGTGTCACCGTCGTACTTGGTCAGGACTCATCGGCAGTGGACCACGTCATACGTCTCCGCAATAAAGATGTCAACACGGAGATTCGGCAGCTCGTATATGTACATAAGCAGAAGAAGTGGGAAGAGTATCTGAAGACTCGTAACTTCACCCGTTCACTGTCAAACCCGACGAAGCGTGACGACAGAGTCGAAATCTCTTTCAAGCTCAAGTCGCTAGCCGGCAGCTCCTGGGGCGGCAAAAACAAAGAAACGTTGGTGGCAACATACAAGGCTATTGGCCGGACGATAGTAAACTACGCAGCGCCTGTGTGGTCGGCAGAGACTAGTATTACACAATGGACGAAGATGCAGACCGACCTGCCAAAACACGGCGGAAGAACATTATCTTTCGCTGGATAAATAGAAATAAACTACGTTTATGCGACAGAATTCATGAATTCTTCATTCAAAAATGGTCCCGTTTATGCATAGTTCGCGAATTCATGAAATAAAGTGCTTTGAAAAAGTGGCACCGCACTGGCGAGAAACTAAAAAGTTGGGTTCCTCTTAAATTTGCAAAATTCGTAGGTACCAGGCAATGAACCTGTTATGTTTAAATAGGTTTTAATATATTTTCAGTTTATTCTATTTGAATGTATTTTGTATTTGAACAATTCCACACAACTTTTCCAGTGTTTTAAATCCTGGTTATGCCACTCATCAAGGCGTATTCAATAAGGTGGTATCGGTACGCCAATAACAAAATGTACATGTATTTTTTTTTGCTTTTGCGGCTGTCAAAAATTTCATACGAAGGATGTGAAAGAGAACAGAAAACAATAAAAAATCAACTGCTCCAACCAATCAACAGCAGCCATTTGACATATGAAGCCGTGAGGCGAAGAAAAATAAAAGGGTGCTGCTATCACCTGTTAAGTATCTAAAGCTGATGCCACATAAAACGTTTGCTTCGCTTTACGTGACAGATTCGCTTTGACAGCTAAGATGAATTGTATGAAAATGCACAAAGCATGCCACATAGATCATTGAAGCTGCAGCGCGAAGCGAAAAGATGGCCAACTCCCATCTTTTTGCGCGCTTTGACAATCAGCCGGTTTAATATTTATTTTGTTTCGTCCAAATTCGAGTATTCATGCTGAAACATAAAACTCAATTACATTGCTGATAATTTTAAAGCAAAATATCTTAAATCCACAGCAATTTTGACGATTAAAAAAGCAGTGCAAAATTGATTTCTTGGCGTTCATTGTGGCATACCTTTTGCGTCTGGCGCTTTGCTGGCAAATTTATAAATGTCACGCAAAGCTACAAAGTTTTATCTGGCATCAGCTTACGCCTTGCCACTCATGCTTTTAATAGGCGTGTTTCTTAACTTTTTACAGCTGATGACAGCAGATTGGCGGAGAGTATAAGTTCCCCCGCAAAGAGATCGAAAGAGGAAAAAGTAAAGAACCGAAAATAGCAGAAATTTGCAAGCACTGTGTATATACACACACACATCTTCAAATGCATGTACAAATACTTACATTCTGCAATATTTCAATGTGTTTTGATAACGATGCACTCATTTTGTTTTATTAAAACGAATTAAAATAAACTTGCCAACTTTTTCCTTGTGCGTTTTGAACAGCTGCTTTTTAAACATATGACTGCAAATTTCGATATTCCAAGGTCTATATATCGAAGATATCGATACTTTACCCGCAATATCGATATTTAAGTTGAAATATATTTTTCATCTACAAAAAAGTGTATGGGAAAACACTAAAGTAGGTTTAATCAGCAGCTTGTGTGATTTATTTATCTCTTAAGTTTGACAAACCGCTTAAGTCGTCCGGAGTGCCGTTTTAATCCTCAGTAAATATACAAATTGGAAATAACACAATTAGGTAAGTTGATAGGCAGGTTTAAAGCGAAGCGCACATTAGCGCGATTCCATCGTTGCGAATACGTTGCGAATTCGGCTGTTAACTTCGAATCCGCAAACGTGCGCACACTTGAGCGATTTTTTCGCGTCGATTTCCGATGTACAATTCACTCAATTTTCCCTTTATTTCGTGTATTTTCGCACTCGGCGTGTCCAAATCGTACAAAATACTATTAATACGAACGTTTTTATTAGTTTTTGTACATTACACGTTTTTTTTCTGTGCCTTTATTGCTGTGACACCTTTCTTCTTCTTCTTTGACGCCTTCAAAACGCTGCAAGCCGCGTTTCGAACGCGTCAATAAAGAGGAACATTGAATGTTCGAAAAATTCGCAGCGACGGAATCGTGCAAGTGTGCGCTAGCGCATTAAAATGTATGGGTAGCATTGTTGTAATTTTTGGGCTTGCGGATTCGCAACGACAGAATCGCGCCAATGTGCGCTTCGCTTAATATTCTATTCAATTGGGAGTAGGATTTTCAACATCGATTTTTTCGATATCGATATTGTTCAGCCCGATATATCGTCATATCGATTTTACATGCAATGAATTAAATCGATTCATGATATCGAAACAAATATCGAACATTCCTAAACCCTAGTAAACAGCTGTTTGTGAAACGTGGCGTTGCCGGACTTGCACTTCAAAATTTCATGAAATGATGCCGAATTCATGGTTAACATGTATAATTGAATTCGTGAAATGGTGTTTATGTAGCCAATTTTAACCCAAATTCATTAAATGAATTCGTGAATTAGCCTACGCATAAACGTAGTACCTGTGTATTTTGCTCTTCAAACGCACTTATACGGATACGTCATGGTGAAATTATAATTTCGCCATGCGTATATGCATGGCCTTATTAGCTAAAAAGATATGTGGCAGCTCTGCTATGATATTTGAATTCATTCACAATAAATGAACATAAACAGTAACAGCTGATTAACTTTTTATAATTCTCTTCGGGCCGGTGATAAAAAGTCTTAATTCGCAATTTTAATAGATAGTCTTTCAAATATGTATCGTTTAATTCTACGTTCAATTTGTAGACCTGGTGCTATTCGTCAAAGTAATATGGGGGTCTTTACCTTGTGAGTGTTAGATAGAACTAAAATTGTGAAGAAATTTATAACATTTATCCATAATTTAGATGCGTAACACAAGCGCAAAATTTTACTTATTTTCAACATTTTGGGCCGAAACCTCCAAATAGAAAACTTCTAGACGGGAAGAAGTTCCATTCGCCACTATGTCAATGTGAAAATCGTCGCAATATGTTTATTCAAACACAAGACACACCCAATCCTGATAGTCTCAAATTTTTGCCTGGTTTAGATGTACTTGGCAAAGGTAATACCTACGATTTCCCCAGTGTTTCTGCTGCTTATTGTAGTCCCTTAGGTAAATTAATTGGTTGGTCATATTAACTTAGGTTCGAAACTAATTTATTGTATTTACTTGAAAGCTAAGCTACTTTTTCGCATTGAGGGTGTGCGTGCTGTCTTTTTCGGGGCCGATTTCATAACAATATCGAAAGACGAGGATGCAGATTGGGCTGTTGTTAAACCGGAAGTGTTTGCGGTAATAATGGATTTTTTCGCCAGCGGCCTACCCATACTTAACGAAACGAAACCTAATTCGGACACTCAAATTGAAGACGACGATGATGATGTTGTCATGATGATAAAAGAGCTACTAGATAGCCGCATAAGACCAACCGTACAAGAGGATGGCGGTGATATTATTTACATGGGTTATGAAGACGGAGTAGTTAAATTAAAAATGCAAGGATCCTGCTCCTCCTGTCCTAGTTCCATTGTTACGCTTAAAAATGGCGTGCAAAACATGTTACAATTCTATATACCTGAAGTGGTGTCAGTTGAACAAGTTTTTGATCAAGTCGATAAAATTACAGAAAAGGAATTTGACAAATTTGAATCCCAAATGAAACTAAAGGAAACATCACCAACAAATGAAACGAACGCTTAAATTACACAAATATACATTACAATTGTGAAATATGGTATGTAATGCATGTACATAGTATATATGTATGTAGGAAAATGCTCATGTACAATGGTCGTTGAAGTTATAAATTTAAATAAAGGTAAAAGTAACTTGCAACTAGTTATTTATTGCTTCGGAAAAAAGGCGGCCGCTGTGGTGAAGTGGTGAGCAGTGCGCGCTTCTCCTCCGCTGCGCCTGGGTTCAAGCCCTGGCAAAAGCAACATCGCATCGCACAGTGTCGCGACTTCATATAAGCGTTGGCCAAAAATAGGAGTTATAGTAGGTAAATGAAAATTGGTACAGATAGTTAACGTAAGTAGACTAAGAAAAAAACTAAGTTTTCAGAAAATCAGCCCAAGGACACGCCCACCTCCCATATATCCTGAAATGAAAAGAACTTATATTTTCCAAAATTGTTGTTGGAATTGGACCAAATTTGGCTCGATTTGTCTCTGATATATAACTGATAACTGTGTTTAATTATATGGAATTATCTCAAAGGACACGCCCACCTCCCATATATCCTGAAGTAAAAAATTCGAATAATTTCATGTAATTAGCTTAAACATAAACTTTATTTTTAGTTTTAGACAAGCAAAGAATATTTCTTATTTACTATTATCATCGCCAATATCTTCAAATTTATCGCAGAAATCATCCTCAGATATAATGCTTTCATCTTCCACAAAAACAAAATCTTTTATTTCATTTAGATCATATCTTCTTACTGTTCATCGAAATATCTGGCTCTGACTGCAGAATTAGGTAATGTATTAGATCCCTATTGGAGTAAACTCTACTCGTCTTTCTTGTACGTTTCCGTAACTTCAATTCCGTCTGGAATAAGTTTTTTTTTAGCTTCTACAATAGAGCTTATAAACGACCGATCACGAAAATCGCCTTGCTACCAACTTCTGGCTGAAACTATGGTTCAGGGCTGGCGGTATGATGAGAAATTAAATCATCTCTACATTCCATACTTTATTACACCAAAATGCAACCTTACTTTGTACACCACTACAACCCTTGTATACGTATTTTAGCATAAGTTCAAGAGCCTTTGTTACTGTAACTTCGTACAAGTTTCTAGAATAAAGATAGCCATTGGAAAATTAGAAATAACCACGTTATTATTCAACAAAAACACTTCTCCAATATTTTGATATTTAGTGCGAAAAAGTGTGTATTTAAATATATATAAATCTCAACTGCGTTGGTATGCGATTTTATTTTTTATGAATATTTTTCAGTGTCTACCCCATTGAAGATACGCGATATTTTCAACAAATGGTTAGAAATGAAGCAATGTAAAAAGAGCCTTAAGGCGGATTCACCGTTCGTGTCCGGACACTTTTTGTTAGTAGTTTTACGCGTTCCTTTCCCACTTAGTCTCACTGAGAGCGCGACAAAAATTTGCTGAACACTCTTTGTTCGAATCAAACTGATTTTGATTTTCTGTCCGAACGACTTGATGATTCGGGTTGCCGCGTTCTCCTTTATATGCGTTTGCAGCGAATTGCATGTATTATTTGCCCTCAAAATCACATGTAGGCAACAATATCATCAGCTGTTTGCTTCAGAACAAAATAAAATGTGCCGAACTGAACGGTGAACAGTACTTCAGCACTCTCTCCGGCAAAAATGTTTTGAGAGCAAATAAAAAGTTGTTCGGACACGAACGGTGAACCCGCCTTTATCGTTTATGAAATAAACAAATTTGTGGAAAATCATTTGCGTAGATCATTACACTGCACAGAGGAAACAAAAATCAAGTTTACGATTTTGAAATTTAGCACTAATTGGGAAAAGTATGGACGGAAAAAAGACTTATTTGAAAAACACTGTAATAACTGGCTGGATAGTGAAATATTCTATGGGGATTCTATTTGTGTTGTAAGTAAATCAGTTCTTGGCGTCAATCAAAGATAAAATAGGTCTGTTATTTTTTTAGGAACCAAGTTCAAGTTTTGTTAGAGGTCGGCCACGTGTGTCTTTCGAAGAAGCATCACATCGAACTAAGCGAAGACGTGTTGATGAACTTGTTGTGTCAACCTCCGCTGAAGCTCTTAAAAAAGCAGCAGAAAAAATTTCAGAATCAAGTAACAGTGGAACTCTTTCAGTGGAAAAGGCGTTAGCATTGTACGTGGATATGGATATCTCTTATAGGGAATACAACATGATGAGAAACGTTGTTAATGGTGTACATAAAAATTGTTTTCCGTCCTATTA